CCCCTTCCATCCCTTTCCCTTCCATCCTTTCCCCTTCCGTCCTTTCCCCCATCTTCTCTCTCCCTTCCCTTCCTCCCTTAACTCCATCCCTTCCGTCCATCCCTTCATTCCTCCTCTCCCTCCCTCCCTCCCTGCTGTGATGAGTTTGTTGGGTCTCACAGCAGTCTGTGAGCAGGAGGGGATACCCCAGACGTGGCTGGAGGCTGCCTGGGTATGACTAGACCTAGAGTTGCAGGGGGATGACCAAGGAGGCAACTGGGAAACTATGATTCCCACCACCCCACAGGACAACATCCGGGACAAGCTGCATCCCATCACGCTCTCCATGAGCTACTCGCTGCAGGAGAAGCCTAGAACATTCCAGTTGGGTCCCCACTCCCTTGATGCCTTCCCTGTGCTCAACCAGGACCAGTCCCATGAGAATGAGACCAAGGTGTGCTGGGGAGTGGCAGGAGGACACAGCTGGGGTGTCCTGGGGTGTGCCAGGAGCTCACAGGAACATCCCTATCCCTCCAGATCGAGTTCCAGAAGGAATGTGGCTTCGACAACAAGTGCTACAGCAACCTCCAACTCCAGAGCAGCTTTGTCACCGACCAGAACCAGCCCCTGCCCAGGTGACAGCAGATCCCTCTGTGTCCCCACCCACCTGAGGGGTCTCCAGGCTGTTGGGGTGTGCTGACCCCCCATCCACGTGCAGGTTGAACGGGACTCAGGTGCTGCAGTACAGCCGCGACGTGCGGAAGCTCTACCTGAGCATCAACATCACCAACGTGCCCACCACCCCCAGCAATGGGGAGGATGCCCACGAGGCTCTGCTCAACATCACGGTGCCCCCCAGCCTGCTGCCCTCCTCCATCCGCCCGGTATGAGGAGGGTGACCCCAACCCCCTCCCCAGCTCCACCAGGATCCAGGTGGGATTTGCCAGAATGTTCCTCATCCTCTTCCCCTCCCCAGAGCGGATCCTGTACCTTTGGGGAGACAGTGCTGTGTGAGCTGGGAAACCCTTTCAAGAGGAACCAGAGGGTGAGTGCTTCCTCTCAGATGTCCCCCAGTCCTCTTGCGGGGTTCATCAGGCAGGTGGGGTCTGACTGAGCTGCTCCATGTCCCCTCTGTGTGCAGGCAGAGCTCATCATCACCTTTGAGGCCATTGGGATCATGCTGGACACGAGGGAGATCTTGGTGTGGCTGGACCTGTCCACGTGAGTGGGAACAGACTGGGAAGAGGGGAGTCTGTCTGGTGGGCAGGATGGGGACCCTATCCTGCATGGGAGTGTGGGGACTGCCCCTCACTGCTTGGGGACTGGTGGGTGGTGGAAGATCCCACGCTGATCCCAGTCCCTTGGCAGGCAGAGCATCCAGGATGACCTGCAGCCTGTGCTGGCCAAGCTGCTGGTGGACTACAGCATCCAGTCCTCACTGAGCATGTGAGCGCAGCTGGGGTAGCCCCCCAGCCCTCTCTGTCCCCACCATCCCTCTCTGTTCCCCCCATCCCTCTCTGTCCCCCCCATTTCTTGGAGGTGTCAACTCCATCCCTCTGTCCTCTCCATCTTTGCCGCCTGAGTTTGGCTGTGTTGGGAGTAGGCACAGCCCCTGTGTCCCAGGAATGGAGCAGGGGGATGCCCCCTCTGCCTTCCTCTCCATGTGTGTCCCCCTGTCCCGTTCCCAGAGTCCCCTCCCATATCCAGTCACACTTCAGTGGGACAGTGGTGGGAGAGTCAGCCATGAAACGGGAGCAGGACGTGGGCAGTCCCCTCACCTTCGACTTCCAGGTGAGCTCTGAGGGGTGACCAATGCCAGGGGGTGGATTTAGGAGTGCTGGTCTCTATCTCCCACTCTGCTCCACAGGTGACCACCAAGGGTGAGTCCCTGGGCTCCCTGGGCACCATCCTGCTGGGATTCGAGTGGCCCTACGAGATCATCAATGGCAAATGGCTCCTCTACCCCACCGAGATCCTCGTCAACGGCAACGAGACCTGCCAACCCCCTGGGGGGGTCATCAACCCCCTCAACCTCACCGTGAGTCCCTCGGTCCCTGCCCCACTGTGTAGGTCAGTCCCTCGGTCCTTGCCCCACTGTGTAGGTCATTCCAGCCCCACAGAGCTGCCCTGGCTCTGATGGAGCTTGTGCTCTCCCAGCTCCTGGAGGACCAGGCTCCATCCCGGCGGAGACGGGAGCTGGAGCCCTCTGAGGCAGCAGAGCCTCCCATCACATTGGCCACTGCCAAGAAAAAAGCCAAGTCAGAGGTGGTACTGGTGAGTAGGGGCTGCAGAGGGTGAGGGGAGGTCCAATAGTGCACCCACTGTGCCTGCTGCTTGTTGGCAGCAGTGTGGTGATTTGGGGACTTAGTCTCCACCTTGACCCCTCCTTGTCTCCCAGAGCTGCTCTAAGGGCACTGCAAACTGCGTGTGGTTCGAGTGTCCCCTGCTCCAAACTCAGCACCCCAACACCTTCACCGTGCGTGCCCGTGTCTGGAACAGCACCTTCATCGAGGTCAGTGCCTGGGCTGGCAGGTGCAGGGGTTCAGGGCTGGGCTGAGTCCATGGGGATGTTGTTAAACATGGCACTGAGTTTGCCAGGTCTCAGCTCAGAAGACAACATGTGTCCATGTGTCCCCCACTCCATCATCCATGTCCTTCCCATATTGTATGTGTCCCCCACTCCATCATCCATGTCCTTCCCATATCCCATGTCCCCCCAACACTTCATCCATGTCTTTCCTCCTCTGTCATCCCCGTGTCCCATCATCTGTGTCCTTCCCACCTTCATTGTCCCTGTGTTCTCTTCACCTCCATCACGTGGCCTCCCCTATCACCTGTGTCCTTCCCTCCCTTATCTGTGTCCCCATCATGTGTGTCCTTCCCTACCTCATTTATGTCCCCCATCATGTTTCCCCCATCATTCATGTCTTTCCCCCATCTGTCCTCCATCATCCATATCTACCCCATCCATCATCTATGTCCTTCATCATCTCTGTCTCCTCCATCATCCATGTCTTCCTTCCCTCACCTGTCCATCATCTATGTCCTTCATCATTTGTGTCTCTCCCATCATCCATGTCTTCCTTCCCTCACCTACATCATTCCTGTGCTCCCCTTCTGTCATCCATGTCCTCTCCCTTCCATCATCCGTGTCCTCCCTCATCACCTGTGTCCTGCCTCACCTCCCTCACCCATGTGCCACGATCCATGTCCCCAGGAGTTCCATGACTATGACCGTGTGAAGGTGACAGGCACAGCGACACTCTTCCTCCGCTCCCACGTCCCCACCATCACCATGAAGAACCACACAGTGCGGGTGAGCGATGCTAGAGCCCCTGCCACAGACTGGGAGGAACTGGGGCCACTGGGAGCTTTGTCCCCCAACAAGGCTCCTCTTGGCCCTTTCAGTTCTCCGTGGACGTGGACTCAGAGCTGCAGGAGGAGCAGCCAGCAGAGATCTCACTGTGGCTGGTGTTGGTGTCGGTGGCAGCTGGGCTGCTGCTGCTGGGGATCATCATCCTTCTCCTCTGGAAGGTGAGGAAGGGCCTGGATTCCCCTCCTGGGGAGGAGAGGGTGCAGGAACCACTCTGAGCCCTGATGAGCTCGTGTCACTGGTGGCTGCCATCCTCTCCTGGTGCCTGGTGAGGGATGCTCAGGACCCCCAGGTGGAAGGTTCTCCTCCCAAGTGGAAGGTTCTCCTCCCAAGTGGAAGGTTCTTCTCTCAGGTGGAAGGTTCTCCCCCCAAGTGGAAGGTTCTTCTCCCAGGTGGAAGGTATCCCCTGTGGGTGGAAGGTTCTCCCCCCAGGTGTGGAAAATGTCCCCCTGGGAGGAAGATGCTCAGCTGCCGAACAATGAGGAAGAGGAGCAGAGAGATTCCCAACTTGGAGTGCAGAACATTTGGGAATCCACAAAAAACATCTCTCAGGTGGAAGGTTCTCCCCCCAAGTGGAAGGTTCTTCTCCCAGGTGGAAGGTATCCCCTGTGGGTGGAAGGTTCTCCCCCCAGGTGTGGAAAATGTCCCCCTGGGAGGAAGATGCTCAGCTGCCGAACAATGAGGAAGAGGAGCAGAGAGATTCCCAACTTGGAGTGCAGAACATTTGGGAATCCACAAAAAACACCCACCCAAAGCAGGGCTGGATAGTGGCACCTCCTTCCCCCTGGCTCCCCTGTGCTGCAGAGACTGTAGGACCCTCACACCCCCCTGGGGACCCCCACACCCCCCTGGGGACCCTC